GCTGCCGGCCCCGCAGCATCCGAGTTCCCGGCCGCCAATCGTGGCCACTTTCACCGTCTGCGGTGTCCATTGTTCGCAGCGGCCAGCGTACACGAGCGCATCCGTGCAACCCGCGTCCACCAGCGCCCCGACCATCCATCCGTTCACCTCCAGCCAGGTGATGGGCAGCGCGCCCCTCAATGGCGGGGAGATGGCGTTCGCGCTGACGCGGCGTCCCCCGACTCGCTTCTCGTCCGACGCCGTGGGCAGGCGACGGCGACGTGGCCCGACTCACCGCACGCCCAGTAGCGTCGCAGTGGGGGCCTCGTCGGCTCGCGGAGGCGCCCCTGCACGCGCCACAGCCGTTGCCACAGCGACGCGTTTATCGCTGAGCACGGCCCGTGCCCGTGCGAGAACGCTCGCTAGGTCCAGCGCGACGATCCATCGTACGCCGGGATGAGCCGGGCGTCAAACGGCCCGCCTCCGTCCCGCGTGACGGCCCTGCTCCCGCTGGCGCTGGCGCTTCCGCTGGCTGACGCTGGTGTCGTCGCGCCACCAGCCGTGATGGACGTCGTCACACCGCCTGCTGCCGCTGCCAGGGTCTCGGGCATTCTGGCCAAAATAGCTTGTATTCGGTGGTCACATCGCGGCGGACCACCCCACACACAACGGCCAACTACCGCACACGACGCCGACAGAGAGACTCTCTCTACGCGCCCCGAGCAGCACCTCTTATGCTCCTTTCAAGCACACTCGCAACACGATCGGCGTGCGACTCGCCGGCACCACCGCGTCCCACCCCACCGCGTTCACGGACTGACGCATCGCCCCTGAGCCGTGGCCGTTTCCCTACATTAACAGTGTCCTGGGGCGTGATCTATAGCCACGTATGGTCCACAGCTACAAGAACCTAAGATTTTGGGATTATTGGGCCCTCCTAATGGTTTCACTCTGGTACCTAAAAAAACTACAAAATTAGGCTCAGCACACAGCGAACCGTTGTGTATGTGACGGTTTGGCTTTCAAAGTTTCCAGAAATCTTCAACTTTAACATTTGAAACAGCCCAGAAACACCAAACACTGAGCATGCCAAATATCGCGGGTGGAAATAAGCAGACATAAACATGGTGTTGAAACAAAATATATTGGTATATAAAAGGTCATAGGCTCGAGGTAGCCGAACCCATTGGATCCACGGGTGCATCCAAGTGTAAGGGGTCTTCCCCTTCTACATCACGCATCAAATACTGACGACTGTTTGCCTTCAAGTCTGTTCGCTACATGCTTGTGCACATATATTCCAATCAAATCTACTCATATAGATTTTGTTCTTTAATTGTTTTCCACTTGGCTTTTCACCTTGCCACCTTGACATTCTATCCTTTGGCTGTTTTTATTCGACTTATATCCCTGTCGACTACTTTAGGTCGACTTTTTCTTCCGACTTTTTCCATCCGACTTTTTCGTCCGGTAATCTTACGGGGTACGTCCTTGGCGCTCTTACAAAGCCTCGCCAGGTGGGCACTTAAGCCAACTCATGGCTGGTGCATGTAGCCCTGATCATGGGGTGTCGCAAGGGTGCGGGGTGAAGCGAGAATCAGGAGAGAAGAGCGAATGCCACTGCTTCTAGTATCCGACGCTTATTGAACAAGACGCTGCATTAGAAACGCAAAAGACAAAGTGCAAAATTTGCCGTTTCTCTTGCTTGAGCTGTGCAAAAGTAAATCGGGATCAAATCAAATCAGACTTTCAGACTGCAAGGGAGAAGTGCTCCTCCGTATGCGGCAGATAATGCTACCATCTAATAGTACGTAATTTTGCGCATTTAAGTCGATCTTATTTCGTACGCTGGTCATTTAGAGCTTTGTCATGCTGATGAACTATCCCTCACAAAATTAAGCTAGCTTAATTGATACAACATGCGTCCATTGAACGAATATTTACACGCACCTTAGGCGCACAACGATTTAATAAAAAGCATGCATGTGTCAGTCCAGTTAACAGCACATGCATTTTCTACAGCACAGTAAAACAAACTCCTCCGACCTTCATTTATACAGCGCGTTTGATGCATCTAATTGAAGCAGTTCCCTTTTTGCCTGAAACTATGCAAATATTGGTCAATATGAGTTGTATGATATGCGTTTTTGCACATAATTGAGTATTGTTTAGCACTATTGATCAGCATGATATTGTAAATTACAATCGCTGATGTCATGACACAGTCGAATTGAAGACAATTGTGTTTTGACGCAAAATTCAGGTCAAATTTTTGCACGCTGCTCGCGAGTCACGTAGAAATCATAACGTAAATAAAGCACCGCTGTTTTACAGGGGGCGTGGTGTCCTTTATCCAAGGACAAAAAAGAAATTGGGATAGGTTATTTGATCTGGCCCAATGGTTTGGCCCTCAAAACCCGCAATTGGATTCGTTAATGTAGTCGGGTGTTTACCCCCCCCCCCTCATAGACAAAAAGATATACGTTTATCGTATATAGCAGTACATTTACAATCCAAAGGACACCCTTTCCCTCTTAAAGAAGCTGTGTTTGCTTTCACCGCCAAATAAAATCGCAGCAGCTGAGCGCATAAACAATACAATAATCTTTGCACACCTAAGGCTAAAAGACACGCAAAGGCTTGTGAAGTCAAAATGAAAAGCTTCGAAGCACGAGAATGACCTAGGCCATTCGGAACTAAGCCCAGTCCCCGTCTCCAACATAACAGAATACGTGCCGCCGCCCATGGCCGCCATAGGGGAATGCTTTTGGCGCCTTACGGCGGTCTCTAGTGTGGCGCCTTAACTTTCCGACCAGAAGGGGTACGTGCCTCTAGTGTCTCCCCATCCGTCTAGATCTGCCCCTGCATGGCTACTTTGCTGCTGAAATTAACTACAGTTTCGAATTATATGAAATTCAAGTTGAGTTGCCTTTTGCCGAAAAGGAAGTGGGCTTAATCCGTAGAGAAAAATTGGTGGGGGGGGGAGTTCGTCGGGACCTGGGCCTAGCCCCCCAATCATTCCCAAAATTGACGCCCCGGCAGGATTTGAATGTCGTTATTATGGCGTCATGGATACCTGGGTGACCTTGAAATCGTCTGCACAAAAAAGTCTGTGCATCTTCGCGAGCGTGAAGCTCAGAAAGATGTACACAGCCAATAGATAAAAACAACCCTAAACAACCAACCTTAAACAATATCTAAACAAGCTTAGATATCATCTAAACAAACGCGTTCCGCTCGCAGCGTAGGGTAAGGGCCTTCGCGTCCGCAGTTTCAATGAGAACTGCATGCAAGTCACATCAGCCGCCACCGCTCGCGTCGGATGGCGTGCTTACACCGGCACCGAGGAGTCAGTCTACACCGGCGTCGGATGGCGTGCTTACACCGGCACCGAGGTGTCAGTCTACACCGGCGTCGGATGGCGCGCTTACACCGGCACCGAGGTGTCAGTCTACACCGGCGTCGGGGCGTCGGTCTACACCGGCATTGGGGTGTCAGTCTACGCCCGCATCGAGGTGTCAGTCTACGCCCGCATCGGGGTGTCAGTTTACACCCGCACTGGGGTGTCAGTTTACGCCGGCGCCGCGGTGTCAATTTACACTGGCACCAGGGTCATGCTACTTCACTCAGTCTGACGTCACCGTTTGATATCCCGGAGCTACAAATGAGCTTTGCATCACTTGCCCGTCCACCCCTGCCCTGCGGTTCTTTCGGCCCAGCAAAATCACGACAACCTCACCCAAAACGCAAAGGACACTCATGTGACGTAGGCACGTGGCCCTACTTTATTCCTCAAACCATTTGATAAAGCTTTGCTCTTGAGGCTCAAATCTGAAAACTCGGTGTCTGTCTTGCCGATACTTAAAGGTCCCCCCCCCTGGGTCCAAAACGGGCACGTGCGAGGGACATAAATGTGAATAATAAGCACGTGACAAGAAAACGGTGATACCAAAGGTGGAGGGGCACCAAGCAATCTTTCATCCCATACCCCACCACCGTTCTTCGATATGCAACCTCGGCCCTGTGACATGGAGCCTAAGTCCCCCGGCCCCCCCAAGGATAAGCACGTGGCGCCTCTCCCCGGCCGGCTTCGTCGGTTGCCGGGCGCCGTTGCAGCTCGTAAGATTGGCAGCGTTTACCCACGCGCGGCTGTTCCTGGTCACGCGCTCTGGAGATGTCAGACGGCGGCCTCACGCCAGGCACGCCGCCCAAGGCACATGACCTCCATGATCTGTGCGGTTTTTGGGGGGAGGCTCTCTTAAAGGAATGCAAATTGACACTCCTGCCCAGAACCTACGCTCATCTTAATGGTTTAAACGCACTGTAACGTAAGCTTTCCGGAACATCTAATTGCCTTTTGAGGCTATACATTGCGTTATCCATGCCATCGCGTTCTGTATCAGATTCAGCGCTAAGAATTGGCCTGGAACTTACGATAACTGTGACCGTGTTAGACAATAATGTGTGCTCCCTATCCCTTCACGCTCCTTGCTTGAACATGTGCTGTTCTCCCCCCCCCCCCCCCCCCCCCACCTCCACCAAACCCCGCGCGACAAGCCGCGACCTGTCCGCGACACCGACGCTCGAGAACATTCCCGCCCACCGACCGGTAAGTGCAATCTCGTGCAACAACCAGGCTTCCCACGCGCAGGACGACAAGCGGTTGGCGCGAATAAAACGGCGCCAACGATCAGCTGATCGGCCAACGACGGAAACCGAGCAACGGTAGTGATATTCAACTGTATACTACGCAACAGGAAATGACGTCAGGAAATGACGTCGGAAATGCCTCTAGTTTGAGAAAAGGGGCCTCCCAAAAAATACTAATGGGCAAAAACATACCCTTACCTTGCCTACCGGCGGAGGGGGCAGTTGTCTCCGCGGCCCCCCCCCCCCCCCCTCCGCTGCGCCGCCCCGTCCGGACCACTTCCAAAAGTGTGCGCCAAAGCCGCCATAGCAGCTCGGTAACTCCTTTCACACTCTGCAACACAGCACTACGACGGGTGGCTTCAGCCTCTCACCCGATGTGCGTGTCGCGGAGCCTGACGATCTCCTCCTTGGTCAGCTCGGGCGTCGTCACGTCCATGGCGAGATCACAGGTCAGCTCCACGGCTGAACCTTTTCCGGCCGGCGTCGCCGTGAGTACTGGACACCGACGACGCCGGCGGCGGCAGCGGGAAAATGGACGTCTGATCGCAACCGACGACGCGACGTGACGTCACAGGCCGCGTCGGTTATTGGTGGAGTCGCCGGTCATACGAGAACTCCAGGTCAGACGAGAGGTAAGGCTCATGGGGGGTGGGGTCGGGTCGGGTCGGCATCTGCTCAGGGTTAGACTTAGGAGATGAGAGGATTGGGTAACGGAATCCTGGGAGCGCAGGGGGCTAAGCGGCTGGGTGAGAGATGGGAGGAGAGGAAGGCGGAAGGTATGCACAGGGTGGAAGGAAAGGTCGGACTCAGAGTTAGAGTCAAATCTGAGAGAGGGTCAGATTGTGGTGAGGTCTTGCACGATTTAGGGTCGACGTCGAACGTGAACCTGAGTCAGGGTCTAATGAGAAGCCAGAATCGGAGTCGGAGCCAAAGTCAAGCAGAGGTTTGTTCCAGTCAGACTCAGAGTCATGTCAATAGGGTGAAGATAGCTGCACGCCGGATTGTCATACCGAGATCGGAGCCTGGGTCGTTGGGTGCAGGAGTAAACGGTGGGTGCAGCAGTAAACGCGTGACCTCTGGGCAGTCGCCTCGGCGAGAAGCATCGCTCGACAGGCACGGGCCGAACCAGGTTCGGAGACCGGGCCGCCTTGGTTAGCCTTGCCCGCCCATGCACAAAGATAATTTTTGAACTCCTGCAGATTTGAGCTGAATCCCGCGACATCACCTGGTACTAAGTGAACTTAAAAGCACAGCCTGGGAAAGGGTGAGTGAGAGTGAGACCTAGGGTGGAGTGTCTCGTGTTCCTAAGCTGACACGAGACACTCCTGGTGTGCCTCTCCCGCGTTATCCCACCGGTATGCTGGCATTCATCAAAACCCTGCACCGTTTATGAGTACAACGATAACTGTAAACTGTTGCCGAGCGGCTGAGAAAACACGTGACCAGATGGGCTGTGCTCCGCAGTCAAGGATGTGTTCATGCTGCCGCCTTGACGTACGGAGAACATTGGTGTCAATCGTTTAGTATAGGATTTAGTATAGTATAGGATTGGTATATTAGTATAGGATGAGTATAGTTTTTCTCAGAAAAAAATAACGACTTGGTGGTGAAACGTCAGCAGTGACTTTCGAAGTCACCTAGTCTTCAAGAGCACGATTTCACAAAATATGCCCCGCTTGTCTGTCAAAGCGCTTGGTATTTTCCTCTGCCCCACTTGGGTTGGAGGAATCCTAATGTGCGTAACTCAGGTAATGCACGAGGGGTCGTCCACGTCATACGGTACGCATGGAGGGGGAGGAGGTTCGGGTGTCATTTTTGATGGAGTGTGACTTAAGCGCAATAAAGCGGAGAGGAAGGTAGACTGTAACTTTGCGCTGAGGTGTGGTTGCAAATCATGCAAGAGTTTTTGTTTCCATGTTTTGAAACCTTAGTGCCCGGTGCCATTGACCACTTTTCATAACAAGCAACACGCGAGTTTTTTCGCACCACTTGCTCAATTAGGGTTTGTTTTTTGCTTGTTTGCTCGTTTGCTCGTTGCTCGCGTTCTGCTCAGTTGCTCGTTTTCCGGCGCAACCAGCGGAGACGGGAGGGGGGGGGGGGGGAGATTTGCCCATCATAAGCAATGCGTTACCAGGAGGAGGATGTTGAAACGTGGTCAAACATGCGTAACGTAGCTTATGGACGTGCTCCCAAGTGGCGCAGCCGTGTGTGGTTCCCAAATTGCAAATCAGACGCACGCATATCGCAAGAGTATGCGCGCATCTCTCGCACTTTGAGAACCACACACACAGCATTGCGCTAACCTCAACAACAAAAGTTCACATAAAGGTCGCCTTGTTACCCCTGACGGCCGCAAAGTCCACCTAATCGTTTTTACAAGCCGCAAAATAACGGCGCTGGGTCGTCCCACTCCTCAGTGCGTGTGCCTGGTGCCATGAGGTTTTGTTAATGAAATTCACATGCAGTCTTATTAATGCGACCGACAGATCCGGATTTTGCAGCTTCAACAAAGCAGAGGGGGTGTGGAACATGGCTGACTTCCTCAATATTGACACCGATGGTGTAGCGTTGCTGTCTGCACTCTCCAGAGTTACGCTGCGAATCAGTTATTGCAATACAATCACATCTAGACATGTACAAACCAACATTCATGGTACCTAGAGTTCAATGAGGAAATGTTTGATGTGGCAAGATGGAAGCCAGGCGCCGTTGGGCTGTGGCTTCTCGGAAGACGTGTCCCGGAGCCGGCCGTTATGCAGGAACGTGCACCACGACAGCTCCTGGTTCAGGAACGCGCGCCATGGCAGCTCCTAATGCAGGAACGTGCACCACGGCAGCTCCTAATACAGGAACGTGCGCCACGGCAGCTCCTGATGCAGGAACGTGCGGCACGACAGCTCCTGATGCAGGAACGTGCGCCACGGCAGCTCCTGATGCAGGAACGTGCGGCACGACAGCTTCTGATGCAGGGACGCACTCAACGACAATGTCGACTTCCTCTCTCCAACAGACGCACGTCTCACCCTCACCTCCTCCCCACGGTCTACTGCTGAAAAACGGCTTCTCAGGATTCTGAACGATATTTGGAGGCCGTTTAACGAAAGCACCTGAGTCGCTGCTGTCTCATAAACCGGCTCGGAGACGGTGACAACTGACCACGCGAAGCTGGTGCGAAAATCAACGTGGTCTATCAACGCGTAGCCTCCACGAACGTCCAGCAGACTAGCTGCAGCAACTGTCATAAGCCCGACGGTGAATCCCAATCAAGAGGATAAAATGTTGTGACGTTCTTATATGCCATGCTGTTTCGAACAAAAAGAGTGCTTTGCTCGCTTCAAGCAAAGCGGGATTTCGGTTATAAAGCGGTCGCTCAGAGAAGCTCAGAAGTTCATTTTTTAATGTGTTTTTTCTGTGTGCATGTTTGTATGTGTAAGCTCCCGAACGTCATCGCGGCAAAAGTGGGACGCAAGTGGACACCCGACGCCGAAAAATATGATGGCTGCAGGGCACGCCAATAAAAAGACGACTAAAAAGGCGGCTGCTCAGCTGAATGACCTGCAAATCAATGGATGCAACAGCTGAATAAGCTCGCCGGACCGTCGAAAAACGTGGCCCTTTCTGACGACGCATTTAGCTTCTAGTTTTCGTATATCCTTACTTTGTGGACAGAGAAATGATGGTGAAATTCAAATTGAGAAAGGTGAAAGTGGGCCTTACATCCCTTCGGTGAGGCCATGAATAACGCTTGCTCGGGAAATGCGTTGCCCGATAAATCAATGACTTTAATCCTCTAATCGATTGATATAATTGCCCATTTAATATGAAGGATCTATAATCTTATGTAAAGCATTGTCTCAATCAATCCCCTAGCTGGCAGCTAGATTTTCCCATCCCTACCAATACAAAGAGTGCAGCTCAATTTACTTTTTCTGAGAAACATCTTCCAAGGTAAACTGGACTCTCAAATCTTCTTAAGCTGTTTTTCCTTGCATGTGTCGCCTCGATCAATCCGCACCCCAACTCTGCTCGCTGTACTTGGCGTTCGTGTGCGGACAATGGAGAGTGGTCTGTTCTGCAGATTCCCAAGCTTTGGGAACACTTTTTAAGCTAGTAGCACCACCATGTATATATTTCAGCATAGTTCTGGCATATTTAGAGTTCAAGGGATCAAGTATGCTTTAACTCTGCGGCATCTTTGCTTAGCTTTGAGATGTGTCATCCCTTAATTATTTTACTACTGTGTGCTGTGTTTTCATTGCGTTTAAGCGACTTAGCCTACTAGTGGGATGCCGCTCCGTTGACGATAAGAAATAAACAAAACAAGCAAAATAAATTCACAACGTCATGAAAGTCATAATGTTATTGAGTTAAAAATGTCATAAAACTTCAGCTATAATCCGATGTTGGTCTGCCCGTCCGTGTCCATGTATATGCGAGTTTCTGAGCGTGCTGTGACGCGCCGGCAGGTGCCGACGGCGCCGGCACCATCTGGTGCGCCGGCTCGACGGAAAGACTCTGGCGGCTAGCACCATGATCGGATAAAACAGAGCCCGCCAATTGAAAACTTGAGTTGTGACGCTCGTCAAGGTTGTAACCACTCCTCATTCAAAGCTGAACAGATAGACGGTGGACCCAAAAAGACTGAACGTAAAAATTAATCCATACCCAGATTTGTTATCATCGTACCTGAAAAAGTTGCATTCGGTCACTAAATTAAGTCCCTGGCGCACTAAAAGGAGAACGGTAGCGCGACAAGGCCAATGTACCGTGCTTCCATTCATGCTCAGTAGCCTGTCAGTATGCGTCGAACACAGCCGAGCGCGTACCAGCCTGTGACGCAGACATCTGAACGCGCTAGAAATGACACGCACCAATCTAGACATGGCCTACGATCTGGCGTTTTCATGCCTTCGTCCTGCAGCGAATTGGGTTTTAAGCGTCAAACCTTCTTTCTACGTCACGTCCCCGGTGTGTGATCCTCTCAAGAGCTTGCTGATTTGTTGGCCGTCGACAACGTTTTGATGTGCACTGACCAAAAGCGCGGATTTAACAGCCGGATGTGAATGTTGACGCTGATGGTAAAACATGCATTTTGCACTCGCTGATGCCTGACATTCCACGCGAGGATTACTCAAAGTATAAGGTTTCGAGGTGTGCTTACCACGCCAAGCCGTCTTCAAGCTTTGCAGCACAGTGAACAGGCTTCTGTAACTATCGGAGGTGACCCTCCCCAGCCTCGAAGGCTAACCGCAAACCTGCCATGCATTAAGCAGCTTTGTGGTGTGAGATGTCTCGCCGCACGGCGCAGTCAGCACCTCCTGGAAGACTTAAAATCCCGTGGCTGGTATGTTGTGCTCCGCTGTGATGGGTGGTGTATCGACCGTGTCATGTCTTTTAGACAGTGAAGTACAAGTAACGTGTTTTGAAATTAGGCATTGTATGGTTTCAGAAACTTCGCAGCCTCAGTTCCCCTCTAATTCATTGGCTAATGAGGTTTTTGCAAACTCTGAGCAATGACGACAAGGTGAAAAATTGATATATATATATATATATATATATATATATATATGTATACATGCATACAAATGTAAAATAAGTTATAGTGGTGACCGACCACACTCCTTCCCTCAGAGTGTCATTAAATCAACGCCACGCTCCATCCACGTTCGCCGCCCGACCCACAGTCCTCGCTCTTTCCTCCGCCGCACTTGCTTACTTGAAGACGAGCGAATGGAGATTAAGCACGCGTGTTTATCTGAGCCCATGGGGCCCAAGATACACGGCTTGATCGACAGCGCCGCATCATCACGGCTCCATGCCGGAGGGATCCTGTACAGCGTGGTGTGTAGACGCTGCTTCCAGAGGTCATGCATGCTTCCTTTTTGGTGGGGTCTCACCCCCACCGAAATTTAGTAAGAAGTTGGGTCAAATTTGCGGATAAACATGCCCTTGTGCTGGTGTCACGCTAAATGTAGCCGGTTTCTCCACTCAGCCTGATGTAGCAGGTTTCTCCACTCAAACTGTACTGGGGAACTGCAGCTCTGATATGTTTGTTATGATAGATCCGTCCCATTGACCTCTCAGCATGGACCAAGGGCACAGAGATTTCCGGGCCTGGAAACCGGGCAACCTTAGTGCTTTAGATATGGCCATCGAGACGAACCCGGGTGTTGTCCTATACGTATAAGCATAATATGCGGGTCAAAATGTACAATACTTAATTTGCTCACCACCGTGTCTAAATTCTCGCGACAAGCAATCTGTCCTTCGCTCTAGGTGAGCGTTGTTCACCTACGCCCTACTACGTGGGTGGGTTACACATCGGTACACGTGGACATGGGCTACATATGTGTCCTCAGCAGTTCCTAAATGCCCGAACAAAAGTCACGGGAAAACACATTACGGTTCTCTTAAAATTGCTTACCTTAACTGTGATTAAACAATGGTAAATGTGACCATCGACTTGTAAAAAACGCGACAATGAATTTGCAACAACACAATATGCATATATTGTATATATATATATATATATATATATATATATATATATATATAAATGCATGTAATAATAATATATACATATGTATACATAAAAGTTCCACTGTGCTTACATAGAAAGGTACCGTGGAACCCGAGCGACACAGCGACCATTCACATTGCGATGTGCCAGCCGTCTTCTGCCGTACCCCGACCTCATGAAAAACTCGAGCCAATGACAGACGCGATTCTGAAAAGGTGCACAGGACCACCTCCACAAAACGGCGGTGTAGTTTCGCATTCAGATAGGAGGGCGCCAGTCCCACCCCCAACCCCATTACTCTCCCAACCATGCGCAGAAAGTGGGCAAACTTCGGGGAAAATGTTGTTTTGAAGTATTTTAGGAAGCGGTTACTATTTTGTTCTGCTCCCCCCCCTTACCTATGTTTCTTCTGCTACCCTGACTAAGCACGCCCCTGCCAGCCAACTGTGAACGTGTCACGTGGCTAAATAAACGCATCCGCTAAAACTAGACGGCAGCCGGTCGGGACTTGACCGGCGCCGGCCTCTGGGCACTGTCAGGGGGAGGGAGATCAGGAGTAGGGAGGTTAGAGGAGCAGGGAGGTCAGGGAGGAAGACCAGGAGGAGCAGAAGTCAGGAGCAGGGAGGTCAGGGGCAGGGAGATCAGGAGGAGTAGGGAGGTTAAGAGGAGCAGGGAGGTCAGGAGGAAGACCAGGAGGAGCAGAAGTCAGGAGCAGGGAGGTCAGGAGCAGGGAGATCAGGAGGAGCAGAGGTCAGGAGCAGGGTGGTCAGGAGCAGGGAGGCCAGGAGGGAGATCAGGAGCAGGGAGGTCAGGAGAAGCAGGGAGGCCAGGACTGCTGAGGTCAGATGCGGCATTACGCTACAAATAAAATTCGGTTCTGAACTATTCGACACATCAATTCTTCCGGATCTTTTTCCATAGCGTTGCGGCTTATTTCCATATTGGTCGCGGTCGAAATTACAGAAGTGGAGTTGACTCATCTCCGACCAAGCGGTATGCAAGAAACCAACCGTACCGGGAACCCCATAACAAACCCCGGTGGCGCGCTTGATGACACCGAGCCGCGTGTCCGTGCTTCCGGCCCTTGCGCCCCTGCCCAGCCCACACGTCGGCATTGGCTTCTCGGACATTTTACCCACGCCCCAGTGGGTAGCAGTGTGGGCATCATAATCGTTTTACGGCGTACTTTTCCTGCCAGCTCACAGGATCAACGTGTTAAACGCCCGCTTCTTACAAAGCTGTGGATGAAATTCTACCAGGCCGGCTTCGACGAATCTGGCAGCAAACGAGGTTATTTATAGCGGCCTTTTTGTCTGGTGAAACGAAGCTTTCACGGCGCACCGGTAGGTTTTCGTGCGCAGCATGCCGGGAATTCCGATTACCACGTGTCCACTAGTATGAACAACTTAACTAGAAACGTGCCGGTTCCACATTGCGTATGTTCGAACCCGGGGCGCGGTGCTTCAGTTCTCTTTGAAACGTGTCAAACTGCCTGCATCACCCAAATCATGCAGCCAGTAAAACTAGGGCAGCATTCCGCGACCGGCTTCCAAACGTGTGGTTCTATCCATAATTTCAGTAAACCCTACATACGAATCCGTAGTGTATCACCAGTCTTGTGCTGCTGCTCTTGCCCTGGACTTCGTTCTACCCGGTGTCCGTTGTCCTGCATTATACCATCGCAGCACATTCCATGCTTTACAGCCATTCCTGGCACAAAATGTCCTCCAGCTGGTACGCCAAAAATAAAATTACAACTTCCACCCACACCCACACCCACAGCGGCAACGCTAACCCAGGTGGGCTCAATGTAATTCCAGAACTAGCTGGCACTTCATTCTAGTTCCGTGCGGAGGTCAAACACATGACTAAGCCAGAACAAATGTATTCCAAATTACAGCCACAGCCGGGCACCAAATGAAGACCACCACTACCGGCGAATGCCCGCTTGGGCGGGCGGGGACACGTCCACGCCGTCGTTCAGCCAATGAGAACTTCCGGACCTGCAACGGTAGAACAACCAATGACGTCACGTGTCATGAAATGACGTCATTAGTTCGCAGCGGCCTCTCAGACAAGTCGAATGTGTTACCCTCATGGGTTGTCAGGCAGAGAAGTGGCATCAGTGCACAGGAGACGGCGGTGTTGTGAAACCTCGACGGTTATGCAGCAATAGCATGTTTAGACCCAGAACAACCATCCAACCTCCTTCAGCCAAAACGTACCGTCACGAGTCAAGATAGCCAAGCGCTGGTGCTGCCACCTGTCGGCGAAAAAACACCAGTTACGACCACGTCCCCTGACGACCACACGACCTGCATAAGGTGACAACTCAGCGGGTTGTGTCATCAGCTGTCAGCGAATGTGAAAGAACCATCAGAGAAGCGGGCGCGTGCGTCTGGGAGGCAGGTGCCGAAGGCAACAGTCAACACTCACCGACAAGGCCGGCCATTGTCAACAATCTTTTAGTGACCTAAAAAGCCTTGACGAGCATTACAAATGAAACACAGCCGCTAAACAAATGCTTACACCGCAGACACAAGCCAGACTAGGCATCAACACCACGCTCTTACCTCCCAGCCGCCTCGATGGACCCAGGCAATCCAGCGCCAATGTCTGAAACCGGTTCCAACCAGACTTCAGAAAGAGGTCTCAAAGCCTACACGCAGTACACAAAAAGGGCAGATACTCAGTGGTAGTGACAATAGTGATCTCTCACAGCGGTCAAGGCACACAGAATGCATCACAGCGACTTCGGTGACCTACGACCATCCGAACACAGAACACAACACGACGGGGAGGTGTTGGCGTGATGAGGACAGCAGGCAACACGTGCTTACCGAACCTGTGACGTCACACCGCCGGCGGTGTCGGTCAGCAGTACACCCCCGCCCGGGGGAGATCTGGAAACACGGGATAGATGACGTCAGAGGCCGGTCCGCGCCGAGTTGGACAACGCGCCGGTCGACACGGATCTCAGACAGTAATGTCCACATTCGAATTCGGACAGCGGATCTGTTATCCTCATTGAAAGACAGATGAGCGATTAAAGAAAGGGGGCGAGGTGCCCCGACTGTATCGTCACGCGACCACTTCAAGAAATGAAACATCCATTACCTGGTGGCGCGTGCTGAAGACTGCTGAAGACTGGTGTTCCCTGCGATGAAAATACACGGTCAGGACCAACGAACTGGGAACTGTGCTACTTCTGTACTCAGCACAGACTACTGTATACTTTGAAACATTCTACTTCTGCTCCAGATAGTGCAAAAGAATGTATGGCTGGCGCCAAATTATACATAGCTTCCTAATAGAATCTCTCGATAACATAGGCTAGCATAAATACATTCAGAACACATTAGCCCACAATGACAAACCCTACAAAACTGCTTATGCACATACATCACCAGTTCACAAAACCAAGATGACAAAATGTAGCTCGCATGGTCTTTCCCCATGGTCACTGTGACAGAGTCACTACATGAAGACACTGGAGAATGCGTACACGCTGCCCACACCAGACGCCAGGTCCGGGGACAGAGTTGCTCTGTGATGCTGTGGCATAGGACCATACTGCATGTGATACAGCTCCGGGACCACGGTGCAGACCGGCGAAGGACAGTCTGCACACATCATGTGTGAAGAACACGACAGACTGAGCAGCACTCACCTGTCTGTCTGAAGAGACACGGAGGGACGGAGAGAGGGCAGACTGTCCCGCCTGCAAAAGCCAGGGAGAGGTCAGACGACACCAGACTGCCGCCGAGCCGGCCGACCGCGGGAGCAGTTCAGATGGCCGTTCTGGACTCAGCACCGCATTGTCAGAACAGGTCTGTGATAGAACAATCATCAGGGCACGGGGAGACGGAAGCCGACCCTGGCCTCGACATACGCGCGACTCACCCGTTAGAACGGGGATGGAGTCGGGTCCAGACAGAAGCCGAGTTCCGTGTTACGAAAGGGGTGGAGCCGAGTCCCGACAGTAACCGGGTCCTGTAAGGGGAGAACAGGAGATGTCATTCCCAGGTCACGGACGGGTACACACTGCTGTACACTCGGACACACTCAGATGGCCGTTCACGACTCAGCACCGCACTATCAGAACAGGTCTGTGAAAGAACAATCATCACGACACAACAGCTCGGGCCAGACCCCACAGCCACACGCCCCGTAGGACAGCCGGGTACGTACCGGGGCAGGTGCTGCGGCTGTGACGGAGAGACGTCTCTGGACCGCCGGCCCTGACCACAGACACACAAACAGAGGTCAGCCCAACGACCTCAAAGGTCACACCTCAGTCTCAGGTCACGCGGGGTCAGACGTGCACGGCCGTCACGAGCGCAGAACGCCTCCGGTGGAAACCGCGAATGTTTCAGAGCAAAGCTTCATCATGATGAAATGCATCAAATAAATCACGTACGCAATTTATCCCAACATGGCACTGCATGCCCACAACCCAGGAAATGCGTTGGCTCCGTACCTGTGCACACATTACTTCATCCGGGGAGTAACCACGCCGCAACCGCCACCCATTCCGAAGTCCACTGCAAAGGCAGACAACGTTCAGAAACGGCCTCACAATCAAACGCTGTATGATGTCTGTCAAAACATCAGATTAAAAGCAGCCATGGAAACTGTTTCATGCGTTTCAAACGGTAATTCCGAGTTTCATCACAGTAGCGAAAGAAGTGCCGCAGCAGCCGACGGCCCGCTCCCCACCTACTGGTCCCCGATCTGTCACGTGACGAGCCCCGAGGGCAAGGCGAGCTCCAGTCCGCAGCCATCCGGTGCTGATCCACACTACAAACGGCGATCGAATATCAGCACGTGCCAATAGCAGCGTTTGCAAATCTAACGGTCGTCAGTGGTCAGAACATTGAAACCATTCAGTCACAGCAACTCAGACTGGGGCGGTATGATAGGTCATCACTGAACGCGCGGAACTCCAGCAAATGTACAACCCAGTCATCTGGGAACAAATAACTTGTGACGCAGTACCAGAGAACTTGCGATGTAGTACAATAGGAGCCAAAAAGGCAGAGCTAACAAAAAGAAAAAAAGACTAAGGCACTACTAACACAAAATGAAGTAGTCCAACATAACCCAAATCCCAGATATCTGAGATGACTCACTGACCTGATGAAGAAAGGCAGCAACACAAGGCAGAGCCAGGTCTTCTGTTGAATGCTGCAGGTGAAGAGGGACAGGGTCAGTCGCAGGTCACGGACGGGCCCACACGGCCGTACACTAGGACAGCCTCAGATGGCCGTTCTGGACTCAGCACCGCACTATCAGAACAGGTCTGTGATAGAACAATCATCACCACACAACAGCTCGGGTCACAGACCCCATACCCACATGCCCCGTAGGACAGCCGAGTACGTACCGGGGCCGACGCTGCGGCTGAGATGGGGAGAGGCGTCTCTGGACCGCCGACCCTGACCACAGACACATGCCAGAGGTCAGTCCAACGACTTCGGAGGTCACCCCTCAGTCTCAGGTCACACAGGGTCAGACGTACACGGCCATCACGAGCGCAGAACGCCTCCGGTGGAAACCGCGAATGTTTCGGAGTAAAGCTTCATCACAATGAAATGTATGAAGGTGATTTGGCGCGGCCTACGACCGGCTGTTTACCTGTTTGCCCGCAGGCTGCGCCAGCTGTCTACCAGGGCCGGCAGTGAGGCACAGGTCCATACTGCAACGACATGGACCGTTAGCACAACTGAGGCCCCTCTTAAACAGCGCTGAAGAAACGGCCTACTCCAAAGGCAGATAACCAACCGCACGCAGAAACTGAGTCGGAGCGGGTACGCCAGCGTCCCAACACGCCAGTCTTAGTCAACAGTCTGTACACCACCACAGCTGATTCAGTGGGAAGAACCCCGACCAATCAGTCTGTACATATCCACAGTTGGTTTAGTGGCAACGACATCCCTGACCGATCAGTCTGTACGGGTCCACAAGTCCCGCCCAAGCCAGCTGGACCGGCGGGGAGGTTAGGGCTCCGTCCGTTCGCTCTCCCAGCGCACCTGGTCGGCAGAGCGACAGCTACGCCCAGCCGTGGTTTGGCAACTGGGTACGATCGGACCCGCACGGCACCGCCCACGTACCGAGCCGTGTTGCCGTGGCCGCAGCCCGCAGTCATGACCGTTCCCAGCCAATGCAGGGACCGCTTCGGACACGTCCGTGGCTGGCCCACTGCGACAGACACCACAGCCAGGTCAGCTCGGGGACAACGCAGACAGCGCGTCGCCGTCACTTGTCCGCATCAGCAACAAAAGGCTATCTCCAGGCTGTCGTCAGGAAATGGATCCGAAGTTTGTCATCAGCGATGTAAACAGGCAGGTGTGTTAAGGGCCCTTGATCTCAACTTACCACTAATCTCGCCATCTGTCTGGTCCGAGGCCGTCAGCTGTTGGCTGCTGACCCGCTGCAGATGGACGAGAATCACGTCAACAGACGTTCTACGTAATGTCATACGCATCAGGCATCACATGGAACACATTCTATCCGGAACTCACTGAACCCTGACAGGAAGGATCACCAGTTTTGGCCATTCACCCTAATGACTGAAGTGATAACCAGTCGCCAGACGCGTGATAAGCGGCAGATTCGGTGTTACCAGTGTCAGGATCCACCAGTCTGACTGCACCAGAAAGATGGGTTTTAACAAAGGTTGTCAATGTTTCCCAGTAATAAAAACCACACGCGCTAGTGACAGCAGCATGGCTTGTTCTCTGGGATCTACAGCAGCTCAGCATCGAGTGGGCTGCTCCCATCACACAGCCGTAGCCGGCACTCACCGCGGCGGTGACGCTGATGTAAAGGACACCTCACACATCGCCTCCCCGGGAATGCCTTAACCGGTGCCACCACCAACAGCTCCACTGGTGACAGACAGACCCAAGGTCACGGTCAGCGGCGGCGGCGGCGGCGGCGGCGGGGCCTGCAGGGCGGCGGGGCGGGCGTTGTCGCCGGGTCGGATAAGATCAAAGCTTCTCGATACGTCAGCGGTGCCGGCCGGAGCCGGGAGCGGCGGCTCGACCGGCGGCCGGCACCTCAGACTCGGCCTTTGTCGTCATCCCCGGTGCCGCGCACACGCAGTTATGGACGGCTAGTGGGCATGCCTGGTGACGGGACGGCCCGACCTACACGAGCGAACACACACGCATAATGGTAAATGTAGTTACCAATTCATTTGGCCCGCCATAATGGACCTTGAACCCTCTGAACGCAAGCTTTTAACGAAGGCCGCGCCATGTCGTCACCACTCACCAGTTCCGCCCGGCGAAGACGCGCCAGCGCCGTACCGCTCCCCAGGGCAGCCAGCCGCCGCCTCGGCAGCACTACAGAGCCGGGCCTGCGGAGCGGGAGGAGGGGCGGTCCACGTGAGCCACGCACCGGCGCGGGCGCGTTGTAGCGGCGGCGGCGGCGGGCGAGCAGCGCGACGGACGCCTGTTCGGACCAGGGTCTGCCCGCCGGGCCGCGACAGGGCCGACGGGCGTGTGACCCTGCCCGGAACGCTCTGCCAAGGTATTCAGCCGCCCTACGACGGCCGCGAGCAGGGCGGGAAATTGGCCTTGGTCGCAGCGGAACGTGAGAACAGTGGTGCGAACGACGCTCTGACGACTCGCAGAAGAATTGCGTTGGGGCGGCAGATGTGATCCCACACATGAGCACGTCTAGTAAAGTAAGTGCACACGCCACACCTTTATCTGCTCAGTTTGCAAGGAAGGCCAAACTCATTGCTATTGGCAATCAATTTTCAACTGGTGTTATGGACTGTAACAATCACTTACCAAGTGCGGAGACAAGATGGCAGTCATTGTGGAAGAAGTGTTCCTAGCTGCTCAGAACCAGCTGTGAAAGGAAAAAAAATATTGTAATGTGGAAATTCTTAGTGCAAAGACAGCACATGGCCCAACCTTACAATGCACCCTGTTGCATCCACATCGATGCGTGTTTGCAGTCATGCTGTCTGGAGACGACCACATGTACTGAGCTACCAGATACAGAACATATTCAGTATCCCAAAACCAATGTGAAAGCAACCCTCCTGGGTGTTTCTCCTTTAAATCAAACACACATCTCCTACGGCTCGAAACTGTGACCACCGCGAGATCCATGACAAAGCATATCGCGCACTGAAGCAAAACATAGTGATTGTCCGGAAGTCTTAGTTCCGCCTGTCCAACATCCAGAGACGGCAGAGTGGAACAGTCCGGGGGCGCGAGGCACCGTCACTGTGCCAGAGCGTTGGCCCCGGCCAGCCAGGGCACGGCCGGCCAGGAATTTGACGGACTCTGGACGGCGCACACGACTGTGGCGACGGGCCTCACCCGGCAGGCCTCTTCCTCTCTCTCTTCACAGCAGCCGGCGGTGGGACGCCCTGAAGCCGGGCCGGCGGAGTTGCGGCCGGCACGGACCCTGCCGCACACGGCAGCAGAGAGTCAGCTGGTACAACACAAGCGGCGAGGAAGTACCGTTCACTCAATGGTGTTAGCCGACACGACGACCTGCCTTGGACGTTCTCACTCAACAGAAATGACCACAAGCATGGCCAATACCAAATGAAGGCAGTTTTGACGACGCACACTGCTCAAAATAGTGAAATAGGCCTCTGCATGTAGCCCATCCCAACACATGCCATCCACCATGTCCATTCCACCCGGCCCAGTTCCAACACAATGTCGACACCTGCCACAGACAAGTTGTGCCCGATCTTCTAGAAGGCGGCCCGTGAGGCGGCACGGACGCCAGCTGGTGAGGGGGGCTTGGCTCTGGCACGGTTTGCACGTCGGTGACGTCAGGACGACCGTCACAGATTCGATCACGTGCCATGTGACGTCACACCGAACGGTGACATCACACTGAGCAGAGACCCACCTGCAGATCCCGCCTGGTCGCAGTCTGCACGGCGTCACGTTTGCTCCAGAGATTCACCTAGGTGGCTCTAGGAACCTTCTCAGTGCCATGGGTCCTTCTGATCTTCTAAGTGTTGTTGCAATTGCAGTATGTGCACCACCGAGGCGAGTACAGCCCTGGGAAATCACATGACAGATGTGACACAGCACAACACGAACCAAAACCGAACGCCGACAAAAGGCTCAGAGAAAAGCAGCCATGGAACTGGTTTCACGTGCATTCAAACGGTAATTCCGTGTTTCATCCTTGCACGCGCGGAGATGGCCGCGCCGGAGCCGTCGGGGCTCACCTAAGATGGAGTGACGGCGGAGTGCGGTGCAGGCGCTCCCAGAGCCGGCCGGACCGTCTGTCGCAGAGGGAGGCACGGAGAAAGGTCAGACGGAGCCGGATGGTCGCCGGCGCTCCCGACGCGTCACGCACGGCATCAGTAGTGTGGGAGTTGTCGTCATGCGACAGTCAAGAGTAGCAAATACAGCACAGCATCATCTGAGCGGGGAACCCACGCGGACACGGCTGGCAGCCAAGTGGCTCACTCGCCAACCAGCCTTTCTTGGGTGCAGAGACCAACTGCGTCCTTGCCTCCTTACCTTGGAACATGGCGGGCTAGAAGCGGACCAGGCCTTCTTCGGCTCCTGCAAACAATGATTGTCAAGGTGGCACCAAAAGAAATCATGCGGTGCAAAAGAATATCGACCTGCCACATTACATGAGCTCCATGCTGGCAGCATCACGCATTTTACTGCCAACTCAAACTCATTCAGTTAGTTTAAGGATGTAGCTCGCATGGTCTTTCTCCATGGTCACCGTGACAGAGTCACTGCATGAAGACACTGGAGAATGCGTACACGCTGCCCACACCAGACGCCAGGTCCGGGGACAGAGTTGCTCTGTGATGCTGTGGCATAGGACCATACTGCATGTGATACAGCTCCGGGACCACGGTGCAGACCGGCGAAGGACAGTCTGCACACATCACTGGCTAACAAAATCAAAACACGCACAATACACCCTTCACATAGCCAAGTTGGCAAAACAGTTCAAAAAGAAAGAAAAAAGACCAATCGACAAAACACAATACAGCACTCCCACATTCACATAGGAAATTTACCATAAGTTTGCCGATGGCGAGAAGGAGCCGGTACGGCGGCCGCACGCTGCCGCCCTGTGAATGGACCCCAGCCGGTCAGCGACGCCTCTTCCCGCGCGCGGAGCCGCGCCTTCCCCGGCCAGCCTTCCCGCGCCAAAACTGTGGCCGCCATCACTTTGACGCCGTCCCAGGCAGCGACGGACGGCACCAAGCAAGAGACGGCTCGCTCACTGTGCCCGCCTTCAGCATGCTGACCCGGCCACGGAGCGACCGAGGCCAGCCGGCTTAATAAGGCGGGGTGGCGCCGCCGCGACCACGGTGCACGTGAACCAGAATTGGTGTGCATGCTACAGCACACAGCTCCATGCAGCATAGTGCGGAGCTGTGTATGATAGCAAAACTACAGAAACCTGCTCAACCCCAGGCCACATCACCTATGTGACCTGCAGATATGCTTTCCACCAAACTACAACTCAAAAATAAAATCACAATCTTGGCATAGCACCATGAAAACCATACACATTGACATACTCAAAATTTTCACTGAATGGAATCCAGACAGCAGATCTGTGTGCAGATCTTGGTCATCATTAAGCAATCATCTGTTAACTGACAGAGCTTGTAAAGAATTGACAGCATCAACCCTGTCACTCACCCGTTGGTACTCTTGTCCATGCCAGACATGGTGCTGGATGATGCAGACCTGCAGAGGAGACAACATGGATCACATGGAGACCTCATAACCAGCACAGCCAGAGGCCACATGGTCTGCTCAGATGTGACAAACTGTCACTGACTCAGTCTCTGGTGGAAACCGCGAATGTTTCGAACGACAACTCTTATCATAACTGTGCATGAACAAATGACAGTTCTGGGACCTGCAAACCACAAGTTTCACCACTGAACTCCCTAGTTACTCTTGTGGTGTTAATTAAAACCAATCATTGAAGCCATTTTGGTGCCACTTACCACTGGCCAGAGGTGAAAGGGATGTCAGTGTTACCCTGAAACAAAACCATATATCACCAGGTGGTCTAATCATGGCCTTAGCAACAGGTCTCATTGCACTGCATCAGCCAAGAGTGTGTCAGAAAAGTAAGAGTCACCATGTGTTCTCTGAGGAGCTAAGGTTCATCACAACAAATGCCATGGTCAGCATTGTTCACATTCATACCCATCCACCTCTCACCTGCCACTGATGGAACAGGTGGTCAGGCCCAGACAGGATGGACCCCTGGCAGGACAGCATCACTGCAAAACCATGGAAAGACCGCTGAGTGCCAGGAACATCTTACAATCTCGGCTGGGGCTGACAGCAGACCAGTTCAGAACAGTGTGGTGTTGTCACCTGACCATCAAGAGTAGCAAATACAGCACACATCATCCGAGCAGGAGAGGCAAATCAACAGCATCCTCCAATACACACCTGCCCGCAGACGATGTACCCTGCTGTGAAGGCAATGACCATCCCTGTACAGCCCTGCAAGGAACAGGTCCCATTATCATGCAGAGCAGTCAGCAGCCGTGGCAAGAGCTTGATTTTGGAACAATCAGAATAAAAGCAGCCATGGAAATTGTTTCATCTCTTTCAAACGGTAATTCCGAGTTTCATCATTCCACATGCCATCCAAAATCATCTGTGCCAGCCAGAGACAAAGTGGTTTCTTACCTAACAAGACCACTCCCATGTGCTGTGACATCTGACATCCTCGGCCAGCACCCATTGACCTGCATGACACAACAGCACTGTCAGTATAAGACAAGGGCATAACCAGTTGGCAATAAGGCCTTGAATGGTCAGAACATTGTAACCACTCAGTCATGAATGCTCAGACTGGGGCGGTATGCAAGGTCATCATTTAAGACCAACAACCGAGTTTTCAAACAAGCGCCCTCACTGACAAGTTCCCAAGCTTTTCACAAAAATAGGGTATGCCAAGTTTGGTGCACAATCAGCACCAATTTTGGTGTATTAAAAACAACTGCTTCCAGGAATTTGGATGTCATGATGGCAAATCAGTAAAAAAAAAACCAAAAATCATGATGCAAAAGTGAAAAACACCTATCCCAGCCTTAGGCACACAGATGTATGAGATCGAGCACATCAACAAGGTGTAGATGCCCACATTGTGCAGGCAAACCCCCAAACATACCTTACAGCCATCTTCCTTGCTGGCCAAGCCCTGCAAAAACAAGAGCACTGTAGTTGTTGGGAGCCAGTGGACATGTACTCCAACTTCAGTGACACCATGCACAATTACTGAACAGAAAATGTGTCATGTAGCTCACATGGTCTTTCTCCATGGTCATTGTGACAGTCACTACATGAAGACACTGGAGAATGTGTACACGCTGCCCACACCAGACACCAGGTCCGGGGACAGAGTTGGTCTGTGATGCTGTGACCATACTGCACATGATACAGCTCCGGGACCACCATGCAGACCAGCGAAGGACAGTCCGCATGCATCACTGGCTGCACCATAACAAATGAAACCACAACCTTTGACAGATAAGCAAGAGCATTGCACTACATGGTAGAAAGACATAGCCAAATCTCAACACATAACCAAAAAACAATACCCAATAACCAAATCAAACCTTGCAACCCCCTCTGCTGATATCTCCTCAGAGCAGTTCACCTAGTGCTGCACATCCTGTTACATCTGTGGGAGCAAAACTCACTGAGCACACTTGCAGATCCAGTTGTTAGCTAGTAAACCAGCATTCAGACATCAGGTGATATTCTGTCTTCATTACAATCAGACATCGACAGGAAGTCATCATTGATGTGTAGTAATATATCACTAATAATTTAGTTAACATTTGACACAAATCACAGCCATCCATTGATCACAAAAACAAGCATTAAGTCACCACTTCATACCTCAGTAGCCTGGCACATTGCAGTAACCAGATTCCATTCAAGAAGCACTCTGGGAGGCCACCTTGTTGCAATCCCATGGTCTGTCTCTCATGTGAGCTGCAGCTTGATGCATATATCAACCCAGCCAGTCTGTCAAACAAGACAGAAAAATCCTTAGGTACCATTTCTCAGTATTTGAGCAGCCCTCCACCTCTGTCCTAAATGGCACTCAGCAAATGGTTCAGTAGTCATTGATTCCTCAGATACTATCTAGAAGACATCATCGCCAGCAGCACGATATTTGCATAACATCTTTATGATTGACTTACCTAATCTGGTTGCTTCATGATTCCACAGGATACAGCCAGATTCCTGAAAAAGATGACACTGATTACTTAAAAGAACTTTTGAATGCATCTGAAAACAATGGCAGATGTCAGAAGAGGTTAAAAGCATCAGACTACAATGTAGTTCAGAAAGACCAATCTAATCATCACGTAAGTTACCAGGCCAGCAGATCAATGGTATTCAAATTCAGGTCCTGAAACATATTTGTTTACACAAACTCTCCCCATAAGACACATCTGGCATCAATGAGCCCCAACCAAATTGTGCTTACCTGCTGGGCAAAGCCATCTGAGTGCTTGAATCTGTGGCCTGCAGTATGCTGCATGCTGAAAGACAAATCATATGTATGCAAAGGCAAAACCAAACAAGCCAAACAGGAAACAACTGCACTTTCAGACATGTTATGGTGTTTTCAAACAATTTCAAAGAGATTCCCACAGATTTCATCATGAAGCAGTGTGAACAACCCTGCTCTTACATAATACACTACATACCTTTGAGATCTGTGTGAGAATCACAGGCAGAAAGGTCTGATGGATAGTTCTGGTGCCACCTGAAATAAATGAAATGGTTTACACAATACACATTAAATAATGATCTGATTTCACCACAACCATCAGTTCTACTATCAAAGAATATCACTAGCAGCCAGAAGCTGCCTCCAAAGGTAAAATAGCTCATCACATTCTCAGTCCCTCTATAGCAGAGTAACTTTAATCAAACAATAGGACAAAACTTACCTGCCCTGATTTCAGCAGGAAGGAATCCACTGTTGCTCCCTGGCATCCTGAGGAGGGCATGATGTCAGCTAATGATGTTTGCCAACAAGGCAATAACTCACTGGGTGACATCAGTGGGTGCTATCAAGCCTTTTCAGCAGGGTGCTCAGAAGAGGTGTCAGAATGACATCATGTCCAGTGGATAGGTGGTCATAGAAGCAGATCTCAAAAGCCACTGATCATTACCTGAGCTGGGCTGAGTGAGCATTGGCTGGTGGTATTCTCAGGAGCTGTGAAAGAAACCCCATATTAGTCTTCAGAGAAAACTATTTATAATGCATCTAGTAAGATGACCTTCAGTGATGGTTTTCATCACAAATATGCAGAAACTCTAATCAGACATCATCAGCATGGCATCAACTCTCACAAACCCCAATCTTGTATGTACCTTTCCAGATCACACCTATGGTTCTGATGAAATCCCAAAAAGCACCTGAAACATAGCAAACTTTCTAAGTCTTCCCATGAGACCTGTTACTGATGGGAGAACCAATGAAACATCTGAGCATATAACACCAAAAATAGGTGTAAGAAGCAGAAGCACATGCTATACACCCCTGGTCTTGACACCATTTTGATATCTTCCAGGATGAGCTCAGTGAAAAACTAATTGAATGAAATGATCTAGTTTTCAACAGAGAATGAAAAGAAGTGAAGTATTTGAAGTAAAAATAAACTAATAAAAAAATAAGGTGAACAACTTTACAAACCAAGTAACTTTTTGACCTCATGGACCTGAAACACAACCAAATATTGGTAGAAATTGTAGGTTCTTTATATACATAAATAGCATTTAAACATCTGTTCAAATACATGCCCCATGCTACCCTAGATATATAGGGCAGCGTAAATTATAACTTAAATTAGGAATGCCTCTTGATCTCATTCATTCATGGAGACTTTTCAATCTCGCAGACATAACCTGCATGGTAGACAAAAGATTGATGAAACAAACTGAAGAGAAAAAAACAGCACAGAAACTGCTGCTGCCTTACACTACACTTCTAACCAGCTTTGACATCCTCGGGCAGTACAGCCACAGTGCTGGTGATTCAAAAATGTGCCACCATGGAATAAAGATCATACCAGATGCCACTTCATTGAGAGCCATAGTAAGTGAAGCTTGTGAAAAAGCTGTGCCATGATTGAAAACTTGGGGCATGCCACCTACCATAGTCACAGAACAACAATAGAAGTTATTTCCTCCTTTGGGGGCCTATTCCTCAACTATAACATTACAACACAAACCCATCTCCTACTCTGCATCATAGACAAATAAATCTTTCTTGGCAGACCTTTATAGCATGTAAATGGTAAATGACAATATGCTGTTTTTGTATCCAGACTTGAAATTAAAGGCATTCTTTTCAACATGCATATAATGCTATGGGCCACTATCTGAATGGACAGAGCCTGGGCCATAAATATGTGAAGAACTAGGCTATGTGCTCTGGGCATCCAGAGCACTAGGCAATATTTCAGTCATGCACATATCACAGCCCATCTCTCATTTTTGTTCTCATGGCACCCTTTCACACCATAGAATTACTTGGATTTGATCACAGACCCAATCACAATTCAGTGCTCTACTAACTGAGCAAGCCAGGAAGAAGGTTATTGTAGTATTTTGGTCATTCTGAGCCAGATATGCAGGAAAGGGAGCCAAGGCCTAATCAACTCACATCCCTGGACATGTGGGACTATTGCACACCACAGAACCTAGAATACCTTTGACTGCAAAAAATATATGCAACAATGAGCATGTCCCATAGCAGCAATAGAGCAACAAGTGGATGTACAGAGCAAAGCTGAGCACTCCAGTTTGATGCAGGATGGCTAATTTCAGTAACACATGTCACTGTTTCAAGGGAATGTCACAGATGCAATTTGTTAGGTCTTCCCTCCATATTATCACCAAAAGTTTAACATTCAGCATCGTTTGGCTAAGCCAGGTCCCATTTCACATAACCTCTGGGATTTGGGTACCAGCCCAATGCATGGCATCCAGATAATCCATGTAATCTAACACAATATGAAATAAGGCGATGCCAGAACACAACAGCACAGGTAAAGAAAAGTTGTGTGATGGTATTTGGCCTCTGCCTGTCGCCAGGTCTGCTAAGGGCTACTCTGGTCCAAATGCTTAGTACTAACCCACTCGTATGTGGGGGAACAACCGATGCCCTCGACACCAATCACCACGCTAGCGCACGCGACCAAGCCAAACACACCTCGTTCTGTACTCCAGAGATACCAATTTTATGGGATAAAAGCTGGCAACACAACCTACGATGGCAACCAGACAAAAGTTAACGAAGAACGCGAGAGAGGACCGCCGCGCCCTCCACGCGCAGCCACCACGCCGGAAAAGAGCGACGGAGACGACGTTGCTAAACTCGAAGACACAAAATATATTTTACAAATGCGTGGCACGCCGATTTTACACCCAGAAAAGTGTTTGCTTTTGTAAGTTATGCATCTTAGTGTTATGTTAAAAAATAATTATAAGTAATTGCGTGAATGCATTGAATTAAAACGTCTTTCTCTTAAAATTAAAGCATTTTAAAATTAATAAAGTTTTTACCTCGGTCCAAACCTACGCCTGTATTTGACGTCAATAGTACAGGTTTTTGCATACTCTGAGTATTTTTGAGCATTTCTGTGTCATGTATTAGGAAAAATTAGGGATATAGGATATTTGGCGGTCACTAATTTTGTAGTTAAAATGCAATAAAATATATTAAAGGCATTATTGGGGTCATAGACTACTGGAAAGACAGAATTTACTTTTCATCGGAAACGCGCACGAGGCGGCGTCTTCAATTTCTCAATTTGGTTTTTTCCGTTCATGTCCTGCTGCGCGGGGTTTTGATGTACTGCGTTTGGCGACCACTAGAAGATATTGAAAGTTAGATCGATAGGTGACATGCAGCTGATCAGCATGCTCATTTCCGTTTTCTTGAGTATGGAAGTGCATTCAATTTCGATGTTTAGACGCAGTTAAGGGACTTCCCAGTTGTTTGCATCGCATATAATTTTAGCTTTGTCGATATATACCACTTTCACAGCCAGGTCTTTGGAACTGCCCTGTGCCGGACTTCTGCCTCGTAGTTCCGAAATCCAAAGTTTACGATGGCAGTGCCGCACACCGGTCGCGTAGAGCGGGATTCTCGGGACACCGTTTTGGATTGGTTGTGGGCAAGGCCATAGAACAGAGTTGTGGGGTGGGTGGGCCACCGCGCTTTCGTAGCTGCGTGTGACGTGTTCTCAATACGTTACAGGTCAGCGCCCCGTTATTTTCCTTACAAGGTGGCGGGGCCAAATTGTGCAGAATTTCGTACCATTTTTCGGTGGGATATTTCGGACATTCTTGCCAGAATTACCTTTTGCATGATCGCAATTCAATGAAACATGCTGAAGTTGGTGCTGTGTTATGTGGCTAAAATCTATGCTCATGGATCAATTGCTGCTGCTTGTATTGGCATCATTCCTTCACTGATATGCAGTCATGCCATGTAACCAGCATTGCTATGAAACTTAAGGATTAGGCTTTGATGTCTGGGGTAGACAAAACTGTGACCCTGGACAAGTCACTTCATATATGTATGGTTGATGGAATTTTGTAGGGGCCTGAGTGTTAAATTTGTGTTGTAATTTTCTCATCTGAACCAAACTTATTCAAAGTCAACCAGTCTAGTGTAAACATGGCTCAGGGAGGCTTGGACCACCAGGCCCCCCTCCCCCAGCTATCTTCCTGTTCACACTATGCTGTCCAAAAACCCATTTCAAGTGGGAGAAGTCTCAGGCTCCTTTCAGTTTTGGATGGGGTGCCTGTGAATTAAACATGGGTATTCCAGAACACTCTATTGAAATATCCACATCTGGTTACATAAATGTATTATGGCTGGTTGTGAGAGCATTCATACACTTTTTCTAAATACTGTGAAAAAGGCTTGATAGGTAGCAACCTCTTCTGTCATGTAAGGAATGCCTTCATTGCCAGCTAAGTCAGCTGACAGCTAACCAATGTTGTTTCCAATAGAGGACACTAAGAAACATACAACATGCTGTGGTTAAGATTAAACCATTGCTGGTTGGACATCATATGCTATAGCAAGATTAACCATAGAAAGTACCAGGTGGGTCACCATTTTACATTTTGGAGTGTTCCTTTACTGCATTTCTGCCTGTGATGGTATCTGTGGGAATCTCATTGAAATCTTATGAAAATATTTACATTCCTAAGGTATTGTTCAATTGTGCAGTAATTGCTTGCCTTTGTACCATTAATGCATTATACATTGTATCATTGCAGGCATCCTCCACCCAGTTATGCTACATTATTCAAGAAGGTTTTAAGGGGGAGTGCACAAGACATTGTGGCTTTGGTATTCCCACATCACATGATGTTGATGTCCTACTGATGAATGCAAAGTAGACATCTGAGGGTTATGTTGATGGTAATGAAACATCAAAGTAAGCATCACAACTCGTCTGTCACAGGTGTCACAATGTGTTGGAACTGGGTCAGGTGGAATGGAAAAAGTGGATGGCATGTGTTGGGATGGACTGCACACCCAGGGCTATTTCACTATTTGCAGCAGCCAAAACTGCCTCCATTTGGTACTGGCCGTGCTTGTGGTCATTTCTCTTGAGCGAGAACATCCAAGGCAGGTGGTCGTTTGTCAGCTGTCTCCACTGAGTGAACAGTACCCCTCACCTCTCTTGCTGTACCAGCTGACCCTCTGCTCCTGTGTGCGGCAGGGTCTGTGCCCGCTGCACCTCCACCAGCCCTGCTCCAGGAAGTCCCACGGCGGCTGCTGTGAAGAGAGAGAGAGAGGGAGAGGAAGAGAGCTGATTCGGTGAGGCCCGCCGCCACAGCCGTGTGCGCCATCCAGAGTCCGTCAAATTCCCGGTTGGCCGTGCCCTGGCTGGCCGGGGCCAACGCTCTGGCACAGCGACGGTGCCTCGCGCCCCCGGACTGTTCCACTCTGCCATCTCTGGATGTTGGACAGGCGGAACTAAGACTTCCGGACAGTCACCTTATGTCGTGGCGTTTCGAGCTTCACAAGATGCGTGACCTCCGCATAATCCTAAGCTTATATCTGGAAGCAATATTAGCGAGTTTTCCGAACCAAGGTCTAGACATTTTGTGCCAGCATCTGGCATGCTGCCATGATGAGTCACATGCCACGTGACCCTCTTCAGGCTTGCGGCATAAGTGTGCTCCTTCGCTCCGGTGTGTGCGATCTTCACTCGCAAGGGCTGGCCTCTAACAGCGTCTGCCCCTCGCAGCCGTCGGTCGGAGCCTCCGTTGACAGCGCGAGCTCTGCTGATATGTTGCAGTGCGAGAACAGCCCCATTTGCTAGGTGCGCATGTGGATGTTAAACTGTGGTATGAACAGAGACTGACAGCACGGGATGTTCACTGACTTAAGTCATGTATCCACTGATTATCATGCACTCACTGTTATTCATGTATTCGCTGATAATCACTTCATGCGCTTGATGCTCGTGGTGTGGTCTGGTTGCCCCGTAGTTAAGTCCACTAGCCGTCCGTAACTGCGTGTGCGCGGCACCGGGGATGACGACAAAGGCCGAGTCTGAGGTGCCGGCCGCCGGTCGAGCCGCCGCTCCCGGCTCCGGCCGGCGCCGCTGACGTATCGAGAAGCTTTGATCTTATCCGACCCGGCGACAACGCCCGCCCCGCCGCCCTGCAGGCCCCGCCGCCGCCGCTGACCGTGACCTTGGGTCTGTCTGTCACCAGTGGAGCTGTTGGTGGTGGCACTGGTTAACAGCACTCCCGGGGAGGCGATGTGTGAGGTGTCCTTTACATCATCGTCACCGCCGCGGTGAGTGCCGGCTACGGCTGTGTGATGGGAGCGGCCCACTCGATGCTGAGCTGTTGTGGATCCCAGAGAACAAGCCATGCTGCTGTCACTAGCGCGTGTGGTTTTTATTACTGGGAAACTTTGACAACCTTTGTTAAAACCCATCTTTCTGGTGCAACACCGAATCTGTCGCTCTTCACGCATTTGGTGACTTGTTTAGACTTAGAGTAAATGGCCCAAAACTGGTGATCCTTCCGGTCAGCGTTCAATGAGTTTCCCGTGGAATGTGTTCCATGTGATGCCTGATGCGTATGACATTACGTAGAGCGTCTGTTGACGTGATTCTCGTCCATCCGCAGCGGGTCAGCAGCCAACAGCTGACGGTCCCGGGCCAGGCAGATGCGAGATCGAGGTGAGTTGGCATCAAGGGCCCCCGTTAATACCACCTGCCTAAGGCCATTGCTGATGACAAACTTCGGGTCCATTTCCTGACGACAGCCTGGAGATAGCCTTTTGTTGCTGATACTGACAAGTGGCGGCGGCACGCCGTGTACGTTGCACCCGGCTGACCTGGCTGTGGTGTCTGCCGCGGTGGACCAGCCACAGACGTGACCGAGGCGGTCCCTGCATTGGCTGGGAACGGTCATGACTGCGGGCTGCGGCCACGGCAACACGGCTCGGTACGTGGGCGGTGCCGTGCGGGTCCGATCGTACCCAGTTGCCAAACCACGGCGGGGCGTAGCTGTCGCTCTGCCGACCAGGTGCGCTGGGAGAGCGAAGTGACGGAGCCCTAACCTCCCCGCCGGCCAGCTGACTTGGGCGGGACTTGTGGACCCATACAGGCTGATCGGTCAGGGATGTCGTTGCCACTAAACCAACTGTGGATATGTACAGACTGATTGGTCGGGGTTCTTCCCACTGAATCAGCTGTGGTGGTGTACAGACTATTGTCTGTGATTGCGACAGGTCGGGACTCGGGTGACCCGCTCCGACTCAGTTTCTGCGTGCGGTTGGTTATCTGCCTTTGGAGTAGGCCGTTTCTTCAGCGCTGTTTAAGAGGGGCCTCGGTTGTGCTGACGGTCCATCTTGTTGCAGTATGATCTGTGCCTCACTGCCGGCACTGGTAGACAGCTGGCGCAGCCTGCGGGCAAACAGGTAAACAGCCGGTCGGAGGCCGCGCCAAATCACCTTCATACATTTCATTGTGATGAAGCTTTACTCCGAAACATTCGCGGTTTCCACCGGAGGCGTTCTGCGCTCGTGACGGCCGTGCATGTCTGACCCCGTGTGACCTGAGACTGAGTTGTGACCTTTGAGGTCGTTGGGCTGACCTCTGGCATGTGTCTGTGGTCAGGGTCGGCGGTCCAGAGACGTCTCTCCCCATCTCAGCCGCAGCGTCGGCCCCGGTACGTACCTGGCTGTCCTACGGGGCATGTGGGTATGGGGTCTGTGACCCGAGCTGTTTGTGATGATTGTTCTTTCAAAGACCTGTTCTGGCAGTGCGGTGCTGAGTCCAGAACGGCCATCTGAGGCTATCCGAGTGTACAGCTGTGTGGACCCGTCCGTGACCTGGGACTGACCCTGTCCTGAGATTTGGGTTACGTTTGACTGCTTCATTTTGTGTTAGTAGTGCCTTAGTCTTTTTTTCTTTTTGTTAGCTCTGCCTTTTTGGCTCCTATTGTACTACATCGCAAGTTCTCTGGTACTGCGTCACAAGTTATTTGTTCCCAGATGACTGGGTTGTACATTTGCTGGAGTTCCGCGCGTTCAGTGATGACCTATCATACCGCCCCAGTCTGAGTTGCTGTGACTGAATGGTTTCAATGTTCTGACCACTGACGACCGTTAGATTTGCAAACGCTGCTATTGGCACGTGCTGATATTCGATCGCCGTTTGTAGTGTGGATCAGCACCGAATGGCTGCGGACTGGAGCTCGCCTTGCCTTCTGGGCTGGTCACGTGACAGATCGGTGACCAATAGGTGGGGAGCGGGCCGTCGGCTGCTGCGGCACTTCTTTCGCTACTGTGGTGAAACTCGGAATTACCGTTTGAAACGCATGAAACAGTTTCCATGGCTGCTTTTAATCTGATGTTTTGACCGACACCATACAGCGTTTGATTGTGAGGCCGTTTCTGAACGTTGTCTGCCTTTGCAGTGGACTTCGGAATGGGTGGCGGTTGCGGCGTGGTTACTCCCCGGATGAAGTAATGTGTGCACAGGTACGGAGCCAACGCATTTCCTGGGTTGTGGGCATGCAGTGCCATGTTGGGATAAATTGCGTACGTGATTTATTTGATGCATTTCATCATGATGAAGCTTTGCTCCGAAACATTCGCGGTTTCCACCGGAGGCGTTCTGCGCTCGTGACGGCCGTGCACGTCTGACCCCGCGTGACCTGAGACTGAGGTGTGACCTTTGAGTTCGTTGGGCTGACCTCTGTTTGTGTGTCTGTGGTCAGGGCCGGCGGTCCAGAGACGTCTCTCCGTCACAGCCGCAGCACCTGCCCCGGTACGTACCCGGCTGTCCTACGGGGCGTGTGGCTGTGGGGTCTGGCCCGAGCTGTTGTGTGGTGATGATTGTTCTTTCACAGACCTGTTCTGATAGTGCGGTGCTGAGTCGTGAACGGCCATCTGAGGCTGTCCGAGTGTACAGCAGTGTGTACCCGTCCGTGACCTGGGAATGACATCTCCTGTTCTCCCCTTACAGGACCCGGTTGCTGTCGGGACTCGGCTCCATCCCTTTCGTAACACGGGACTCGGCTTCTGTCTGGACCCGACTCCATCCCCGTTCTAACGGGTGAGTCGCGCGTATGTCGAGGCCAGGGTCGGCTTCCGTCTCCCCGTGCCCTGATGATTGTTCTATCACAGACCTGTTCTGACAATGCGGTGCTGAGTCCAGAACGGCCATCTGAACTGCTCCCGCGGTCGGCCGGCTCGGCGGCAGTCTGGTGTCGTCTGACCTCTCCCTGGCTTTTGCAGGCGGGACAGTCTGCCCTCTCTCCGTCCCTCCGTCTCTCTTCAGGCAGACAGGTGAGTGCTGCTCAGTCTGTCGTGTTCTTCACACGTGATGCGTGCAGACTGTCCTTCGCCGGTCTGCACCGTGGTCCCGGAGCTGTATCACATGCAGTATGGTCCTATGCCATAGCATCACAGAGCAACTCTGTCCCCGGACCTGGCGTCTGGCGTGGGCAGCGTGTACGCATTCTCCAGTGTCTTCATGTAGTGACTCTGTCACAGTGACTGGGAGAAAGACCATGTGAGCTACATTTTATAAACGCCTGTTTGTCTTCCGTCGTCAACTCTGTCATCTAGTAATGTATTATTTATCAGCAGCCATGTAATCGACGTACGCTATGCCAACATGTCAGTGCACTTTTATGTAGGATGTGGGGCGGAAATTGAAGAGCATGAAGTGCACAGCAACGGTGACAGCTCTTGACATGCCCGCTGAGGTCGGGGCTTGATGCTGCCATCTGTGGATGTTCAGTATTGACTGTGATGTCTGCTTTCGCCGACAGGTTGCGAAAACAGCGCCCGATTGGCTGGCCAGCTCCCGTGTAATCCAATGGCACGCGTTCGCCGGTCATGGCTGTCTGCTCGCTGTGTATGCGGGGCCGCTGTGTGGCGTCATGATGGTGGTGATCGCGGGTTTGAGGCTCGCCGACATCTAGGGTCATGTAGCGCCCATGACGAAGTGTGGCTGCGGTACGCAGTCCACCGTCGGCGTGCGTCACTGCGGCCTCATGACGCACTCAGCCGCTAAGGCTGTATGGCGTCGCCTGCCCCTTGCCCAGGCAGGAAAGGCATGTAACGCGAGGAATCGGACCCTGCACCCAGATGCGCTTCCCAGATGCGCAGCTTAACATCTGCACTATGGGCACCCGTACTACTGCAACGTTCAGTACCGGTACTATCCCTACGCTCTCGAGTGATAACCAGGCAGCGCGCTGCCTTGTTCTTGATCCTACGGTCTCGACAGCTCCTCTTGTACTCACCGCAGTCTGCGTCTCAATCACATTTTTCTGCTTGAAAACTCGTTGCGGCGCACACATTCCGCTTGTCCGTGTGACCCCTGTGGTCGGGTAACGTAACTCTGTCGGCTTAGAGGTCATCTGATTGTGACGTCATATGGGTTGTCTGTCGTAGGTCCCACGGGTTGACCTCGGCGGTCGTGGATGCTTCGGTGCCCTGACCTACCCGGGAGATTGACGCCAGCGGACTGGAGTCGTGTGGTGCCCTGGTGTGGATGCTGTATGCAATACGTGGATGTTCAGCCAGGCGTTCTGTGTCTGGGGATCGAAATTGGAATGTTGAAGCAGTAGAGCTTAGAACTGACGGAATGTGAAATACATTGACCGAGGCTTAACGCGAGTGCATTTTCCTGTCGTGACAAATTGAGATGTAAGAGGCGTACTGTTGGGTTTACCGGATATGGTAATATAGTTGCAGAAATGTAATGTTTTCCGACGCCGTTTCTGTGGTGACTCTACGCGCTGAAGGAACGGCATACCATCTTAGAAGAATTGATGACTCATCTGATGCTTGCGCATTTGTTTTTGCCGTCGTTGTTTCGCACTGTACGTACCAGGGTAAAATACGTGACGTGCTGCGCAATAATGCAGCGTTGAACTACGGCACGCGATGGCTCTGTTACTCCACGCGGTGGCTCTGTTACTCCACGCGGTGGCTCTGTTACTCCACGCGGTGGCTCTGTTACTCCACGCGATGGCTCTGTTACTCCACGCGATGGCTCTGTTACTCCACGCGATGGCTCTGTTACTCCACGCGATGGCTCTGTTACTCCACGCGGCGGCTCTGTTACTCCACGCGACGGCTCTGTTACTCCACGCGACGGCTCTGTTTACTCCACGCGACGGCTCTGTTACTCCACGCGACGGCTCTTGTTACTCACGCGACGGCTCTGTTACTCCACGCGACGGCTCTGTTACTCCACGCGACGGCTCTGGTACTCCACGCGACTGGCTCTGTTACTCCACGGACGGCTCGTTACTCCACGCGACGGCTCTGTTACTCCACGCGACGGCTCTGTTACTCCACGCGACGGCTCTGTTACTCCACGCGACGGCTCTGTTACTCACGCGACGGCTCTGTTACTCCACGCGACGGCTCTGTTACTCCACGCGACGGCTCTGTTACTCCACGCGCCGGCCTCTGTTACTCCACGCGACGGCTCTGTTACTCCACGCGACGCTCTGTACTCACGAGACGGCTATGTTACTCCACGCGGACGGCTCTGTTACTCCAACGCGACGGCTCTTGTACTCTACTCCACGCGACGGCTCTGTTACTCCACGCGACGGCTCTGTTACTCCACGCGACCGGCTCTGTTACTCCACGCGACGGCTCTGTTACTCCACGCGACGGCTCTGTTACTCCACGCGACGGCTCTGTTACTCCACGCGACGGATCTGTTAATCACGCGACGGCTCTGTTACTCCACGCGACGGCTCTGTTACTCACGCGACGGCTCTGTTACTCCACGCGACGGCTCTGTTACTCCACGCGACGGCTCTGTTACTCCACGCGACGGCTCTGTTACTCCACGCGACGGCTCTGTTACTCCACGCGATGGCTCTGTTACTCCACGCGATGGCTCTGTTAGTCCACGCGACGGCTCTGTTACTCCGCGCGATGGCTCTGTTACTCCGCGCGGTGGCTCTGTTACTCCGCGCGGTGGCTCTGTTACTCCGCGCGGTGGCTCTCGTCTACGGTCAGTGTCTGTAATGAGTCCGCGCGAGACAGTATTCGGGAACGAGACTGATGCAAACAAAATTATTACACGCCACCCGCCATAACGGATTGTTGCTGCGCGTACGGCTTCTACGCCACTGATTGTACGGCCGATCACTGATGTCTTCCGTGAGGTAATTTGCACTCGGCAATGCTTCCGGGCAAAAGTACGCATGTTCCTTTTATAAGTGTATATGCAAATATATTCGTCTATTTATGCACATGTATATATGTATATATATAACGAACAAGTACAAAACTGGTGAACGAAATGTGTCCGCGATCAAACTAGCGAACGAAATGTCGCCGTATAACTTAGCGAGCAGGATCGCATTATAGCATGCATGCCGAGAACTGGGCATATGGCCTACTATGTCGGCATGTGGACATTTATCCGACCTGACATGACCGAACCAAGCGTACATTGTCCTGACGTAACCTGCGTGACCCAAGCCAATGAAACCAACGTTCAGGGTCAAGGCCCTCACCAAGTATTGTAAGAGGGTTAGTGTCTAGGCTTAATCGCTCTGAATCTAAATACGTGAACAACGGCGTATTGCCGCCATTTTCTTTTAAATATGGGCATTCTTAGCAAGCCACGATGACATCCTTGCGTTAGGTCGTGCGGTTTTGGTCCCGACCGGAGTGGGGGGCGCCAGTGTCGGGGCCCATATGTCGCCCATCGCTCCGACATCCACTACCAGGACTGGAGGATGCCTCGGGCTGGGTCAGTCGACCCACCCTTCAAGCGTGCAACCAATGGGGGAGAGGGGCGCCGTGTTGTTGACGTGCATGGCGTCGAAGACCGTGTGCGCGCGTGGCGGCCAGCCCCACGAGCCAGCTGACCTCGCGAGTCAGCTGACCGGGGCCATGATCAGCGTGCGGGACGGGAGAGCAGTCAGCTGCGTGGTGTCATGTCGCGGGCGGTAGGACGGTGCCACCGTTTTTTGTGAAATAAAACGGTATCGTATTTGTTTACTTGATATCCACCATGTTATCAGTGACTCACGTTTCCACAGGAAGGATGCAATAAAACAAATGTTGAGAACGAAATACTGCAAACAAAATGACATCGCCTATGGCTGGTGTCGGGCTCGTAATCAAACGGTAGATACTGGCTGTTGTATTTGTTTTCATCCAATATCCTCCGGCGTTTCAATGCGCTGGATGCGCACAAAAGTTAAAAAACACCACCAACGAATATCCATGAAAATGCCTAAGGAGCATTCTCACGTTATCCATTGTGTTAAGCAATGTAAAAAAAAATGTAATAACTCTTCCAGACCAATATATGAAAAACAGTCTGCCACGCAGAGACCAAAATTCTTACCTAAACAACCTACTTCCAAATAAAACGGCTTTGAGTCGGTTTTCCCCGTACAGAGCGCGCATTACGCATGTAATGCTCATGTAGCCCTGCAGAAGAAAGGAGCCCATCATATACCACAGCACATGTGATGTACATACAACAAAGACATTGTATACAACATCTGCACTGAAGTGTGCATGAAGTGTACAGCATCTGCACTGCACTGAAGTGGCATGTAATACTCATGTAGCCTTGAAGGCGAAAGGACACGTCCATACAACAAAACCATCACATATAACATCTGCACCAAAGTGTGGCCCGCTGAGCTGCATTCATACGCCCTGCTGACTTCAGGTCACGTCAGGTCAGATCAGGTCAGGTCCGATCTTCATCCCTCAACACCAGCCCATCAGACCTCTACTTGTGTGCTCTGGCATCCTCGGCCGCCGGGATGAAGGACCTGCCGTAGCCGTGGCCACCGTTCCGGCCCTCCTGACGCCGTCGGGGACGTCTGGATGACCCCTGACCCCTGTCCTCTCGCGGGCCGTCTCTGTCCCGCTCCGGCGCCGCCGGCCCTGTCCGGACAGGTCAGCGCCACGGAGTGTCGTTGAAGTTGTCGCTGATGACGGCAGGGGACAGGAGGTCCGTTCATCTTCAGGTCAACGAAAGTCAGTCCAGTAGGTACGTCCGGTGCTCAGTCCATGAGATGTTTCCCACCCGGGCCTTCTCAGGCCAGTATGTACCGTCTTGACTCATCCCAGTTTACCACCTTGGGCTTCTCAGGCCAGTAGGTCCGACTTGACTCAGTCCAGGAGACTTTCACCACCCGGTCCTTTGACTTTCTCGCCCTTAGGTGCGTCTGCTCAGGCGAGGAGACTTACCATCTGGGCCTTCTCAGGCCAGTAGGTGCGGTCTTGCTCAGTCCCAGGAGACTTTACCTGGGTCTCAGGCCATTGGTGTACCGTTTACCCTGGGCCTTCTCAGGCCAGTATGTA